GAACACCGTCCCGTGAAGCAGATTTCCAGATGTTTGGAAACATTAGAATTTCCTGTCAGTATATTTAGGTAACATTAAAATGAGGTTAACTTTCCATTCTGCCATCTCTCTCCAAAGATGAAAGAGAACTCACTGCATAAATTGCCTTATCGGTAATTCGTTGAAGTAAACTATGGAAACAACTTTATAAGAAGCAGTAGTCTCTGCTTGCGGGTTACAGTATTGCCAAGCAAACTTTTCTCAAAGAAGTTAACCTTATTAACTCACTTCATACTGAATGCACTGAGAATTTTCAGCAGTTATATTTGAATATGTAATAAATGGATATCAGTTAGGAGACCAAAAGCTCAATTTCTGTCTTTAGCTAGGTTGTAGTCATTAGTGTAACATCCAATAAATAAATGTACATAAACATAAATATAATCAACCACAGGTTATGTTTGTGCTGCTCATTAAAAAATTTATTTAAAAACAGCTTTATAGGTTTGGACACTCACAGTGTCCTTGAAATTCAGCTTGCTTCCCGGGAATCTGTTACGACTACAGAATCTAGTAGGGAATTTACCGACTAAAGTGAAAATTGAGAGGCAAAGATACAGATGTTGCAACAACAGCAAGAAAAAAAAAGGTTTAAATATTGCTTGTGTTAAGTGCTTCTAGACTCTGTAGCTGCAAAGTAACTTGAGGTCTTCTGGTTCCTGGAACATTATTAGTTTTTTAGGGGTTTGGGGTTTTTTTTTTTTTTTTTTTGGAGATCAAACTAATCCCTATTTCTTTGTAAGAAAAAGAAATGTTACTGGAAGAGAGATTAGTCAGTTTTTGGTGAGGGTACCCAGGCTCTCTCTGTAGCTTTTGTGGCTTTTAGATAGATCAAACACGCACCTTGTCTTGAAAGCTGGGGTTTAATACAAGGCTGGTGGCTGATTTCTTTAATTTCTTTTTAAGACAAAGTCTTTTTAGGTATCCTCAATAAACAGCCAATTTTATCACACACCTTTCAAAAATGCCTGGTGTGATAACAGGTGCAACAAAACAGGGATTTTCTTTTAAATAGTTTATCGGTTCTCACACATACGGTCTCTCTGGATTTTTTTAAAGACTGCTCTTCAAGTTTTAAGACTTATGGCACTGCCTGAGCTAAACCCCCAGTAAGAGCTGAGTGACTTATTTCCTTTAACTTCTTTGCCAATCGTAGTTTTAAGAAATGTTTAGCTGCTTATTTTAAGGCTTCTTTGCAAATCCTAGTCTGGAAATAAATCTTTTTTTTGCTTGCTTTTGACAGGGCACTTGATTCTTTGAGAACTGAGAGCTTCTGTCCCTTCCACTTCTGAGTGCCCCAATATTAAAAAGTTGCTTTCTTTAAATTCTATTTAATTTAGTTTGAGTTTTTCTTATTTTAATGTGTTTGAAGCATTTTCTAATTAGACTTAGGAGCTGACATTAATATAATTCTGTATTTTGCCTTTAAAATACAAGCTCTTTGTGTCCTGAGAGGATTTTAAATGAAATATCTGGAAATGAATTTCATTTCACAATAATTTTGCTGTGGCTTTGAAAAGATAATTAGAGTTTCAAATTCTTACAAACATGCAGAAATATCAACTATTCATTTATTCACCACTCCTTTTTATATCATTGTTAACAATGCTAGACATAGTTTTATGTCACATCATTTTTTATTCGGTTTGTTGTCTGGTTTTAAAGAGACAAGTTGTTTTCTTTTTTGCTCCTATTTTGAGAGGTTCTCCGGTTTTTAAGAACCCTTTTTGAAGTCCTCTTGAAATACCAAAATGGAACATCTGTGACAGATCTGCTGGGAGCATATTTCACGTTGGAGGATCCAGGGAGATGTGGGGGGCTGCGGTATTCGCTTGTTAATTTCTTGATGAATGGGTAGAAAGGCCAAGAAGTGCACTCCGTACAGCACGTCTTCGCAAGATAGATGATCTCAAATAAATTCTATTCCCAATCAGTTTTTGATTTGTTAGGTGTTAAACCACTTCTTTGTAAGGACAGTGTTTACAAGCCTTGTAATGAGACGGCCCTGGGAGACCTTACTCTTCTTGCTGTAATTTTGATAAATGGAATTCTAATTCATAAAGGATATAGTGATTGAAGGGCAACTCTGGGTCTCGTACACTTTCATTTAGATAAATGTTTGGTACAGTACAGCAAAACTGAGGTGCACTCAGCAAAGTGATAAATTGAAGCAACAGCCAAACCAGAGCCCTTGCTAGCAAGACAAAGGAGCAACATCACTGTATTTCTTTTAGATGGATGTGCGTTTAATATTATAAAGCAAAATAGATTTTAGGAACATTTATCTCAGATGCTAAGCTCCAAGTTTGCCAAATTCATATCATGTATTTTCCTCCACCATGGTTCTTACCATTGGAAATATTTCTGTAATCTGATAACTGGAAACTTCAACTTCATGACAAGGTTGTTAAAATCAACTAAATTTCAGGTACTTCTTCAGATACATTTTGAGTGTGAGTAATGATTTGGAGCTTGGATTTTTTTTTCTTATTTTTTAAAATATAACTTCAGGCATAAAAAATATTAAAGGACTGTAACTAATCTAATCAGTTATTAAGAATAGTTTACTCAGTTATTCCATTCCAGTGTAATTCATTTAAAGAATATCACAGCCTGGGAATTTTCGGAATTCGGAATTTTCGGAGAGTTCACAGCCTGTGGACTTTCACAGCACTCACTAGAGCTACCAGAGAAGAACAGTATTTCCATGCTTCCTTCCTCCAGCCCGTCAGCTCGTGCTGGACCTGGTCCCCTGCAGTGTCCAGGGGTTCACAGCATGAGCAGGTGAACCACGTGTGTTGAGTGGTGCTGTACTCCCTTGTAGTAAACACAAATGTGAAGAAGTCTGACTATGCAGTTAAATACTCGAGGCAATTCTGATGTACTAAAACTGAAGGTCAGTTAAAACACGCTACTCTTTCTCACTTTTCAGAACTTACAGTTCTGTTCTTTTTGTGAGCTAAAAAAAAAAGCAGGGGCAGAAGGGGGAATTGATATTTAATACTGAGAGCTTTTCCACCCCTTAGTGTTTTGAATCATTTTTAAATGGAATGAATTATAATGTATGCAAGTGGGTTAAAGATTGCAGCCTAATAACTGAATCCACCAAAATATTAGTACACGTAACAGCCTCAGCATTGTCTTAAGCACTGTAAATATCAATGCGGTTTTAATGGAGAATACCTCATCTTGGAAGACTTCAGATGCTGTCCTTAATTTTGGCTCGGCTTGGGTAAAAAAATAGTCTCTGCTCGCTTGCTTTTTGCTTCTGTAGTTTCCAAAATAGCAGTTGAGATAAGAGCAACAATACACAAAGATTAAAATTGGTCTATTTAAAATGTGAGGTTACCTCAGCCTGTTGTGGGATCCCTCTATTTATAAAAACAAAACTTCCTGACACTTAAATTCTTTTCAATGCATGTATCTTCACTAACCCATCTGCTTACGATATTCCTGTTGGTTGTCCTGTAATAATATGAGGTCGTGAGGTTTAATGGGTGTTACCTCATCATTTTGTGTCTGCTATACTAGTATTCATCCCAGCACTGTGGAAGATAGAAGAAATCTAAGCACATTCAGTTCTGCTATGATTTTACCCACAGCTTAATAGGAATAAGCTTAATAGGAAACAAATTTCCAAATTGCTTGCAGGATTTTGAATTACTATGCCAGATTGTGTTCAGGAAGGATTAGTTGTGATTTCTGTTTCTTAGGTGGGAGAGCGGAAGAGGTCTAGATGTTATACAAAATAAATTTGCATTGCTCCCTTGAGTATGGTCAATTCTTACCTGAAAATGTTAAAAGAATCTAATTCAGCTAAAAAGTAATGCTGAGCAGAAAAGAGCTTTTTATATGGAAGGTCATGCTTTTCCTTTTCCATATATAAAAACAAAGGTGTCATAATCCAAGTTGAAGATGCAGAGATTTCTATTTAGCAAAAGAACAGGAAGTTTTCCTGTCTAAGAAGTTGCTACAAGTCTGTTACCTTGAAAATAAAACCCATGACCTCTCCCAAAGAGAGAAATAGGGGGCCAGTGCCACAGCAGTATTTTAAAGCTACCAAAGTAGAATGAGTTTTGTTTGTAGCTGCCAACCTATAATTCTTCCAGTTATCTTGCAACAGTATTTATGTATTTCTTAAAAGGTTTTCATTATGATTCTCTCGTTTTTGACCACGCTATATTTAATTTCTTACACAAAGTGAATACATTGTGAAAACATGAGCAGGACCTTCCCAGAATGTTAGATGATGTATCTTTTGCCTTAAGGAGCTTTCGGTCTGAATAGACTAAGAAGTTGCTTGTAGACAAGAAGAAGGGGTAGAACCTCCCTGTGAAGTCCTTGTGCTAACTGGCATATGTCCATACACAGACATTTTTATTGTGCTCCTTGAAAAACAGCACAAAACACCCCAACATGCACTCACTGTGCACGTCCTTTTCTTTGTCTCTATTCTCAAGCCCTGCAGAGCTCACCTTGTTACTACAGTATCTTGAGCTATGCCATCTATTACTTCATCCTATCCTTCCTATCTTCAAGACCAAAATCACAGCGTATCTTGACCTCCTGAAAGCATCTCCTTGATTCAGAGAGTAGGTGGTTTGAGCCTTGAGATGTCAGTCCGAGGCAGACTACCTGGAAGGCAAGAGAAACTCCTGCTTCAGGCCTAGGTACTGGAAGGCCAGTGGAACAACACAGAGCATCTAGCAAGTGGGAATTGCTAAAAGCAGGACAGTCTTTGTGAAACAGAGCTTGTCTTTTATCCCAGATATATTTTGAAAGACAGAACGAGGCTGTGTATTTTGTAATTCTTGACAAAATTCTAGAAAATGTTCCTTCCCTTTTTCAACCAAAACGATGCATTCTGTATGTTTTTTTACTACTTCACTGTGTTTCTTTGTTATTATTGTTATTTAAAATGTTATCCAGCTAAATTGACAACATTTGTAACTTTCATTTAGGCACTGAAGAAGATGTGGTGAAGTCAAAGAAAACCTTCCGAAGTCAAGCCGTAGTAAATCAGAATGCAGAAACAGAGCTCATGCTGGAGGGGGATGATGATGCCGTTAGTCTGCTCCAAGAGAAGGAGATTGACAACCTTGCAGGTAATTATATTTTTCATTACAAATGAGCTATGAACCAGAAGCTCTTTTAAGCTTGTTATTTCTTAACTTTTGCAGCTAGCCTCTTAATGTTGACAGCTAAGTATACAATTACAGTGAGAACAGCTTCTTTATGTTCTAGATTTACTATCGTGTCTTACTTCCCATGAGCGAGGGGAATTGATTACCCTGCACGTGCCCATTGCACAGTCTTTCCAGGAGATGACAGTACCTCACGTGCTCTCTAGTAATTCCTGTTACTTTTAATTGATAATCAGTGCCTTTTTTTTTTTGGTGGAAGTGGCAGTGGGGAATGACTTGAGCGCTCGGAGTTACGTGAGGCAGAGCGTGGCTGCGCACCAGTGCCGAGGAGCTGCGAGTCACACACAGGCTTCTTCACCTCTATACAAACTGGGAGTGAACGCTGTGCAAAAACGTGCAGGAGAGATCTCCTCTCCTCTGTCTTCCTATGGAGAGCTCTGCCCTGGAGTCGCAGTTTTGTCCCTCTGGTCTAGGGAGCTCCGTTACAGTTCTGTGTCGAAGGAACACTACTTATCCTTAGGAAGTGTAGTGGAAAAAAGGCACAGTAAACGTTGAAAGTGCAGTCTCCATTCAGATGAAATAAAAATGTGAGACCTATGAACTGCAGTATGGAACTTTTTAGATTAGTTTACTTAGAAATACCATTTTGAAAGTACTCCATTAGGGGAGATTTTGCAGTGTCTCAGCATTTTCTTTTGCAGAATTGAATTTTGAAAATAACTAACCTTGCTCTCCACTCTGCAAACTCCAGTGGAAGCTTATAGCAAAGATTAAGTCATACTTGTATATATATATATATAAAAAAAAAAAAAAATAAATGGAGGTTGGTCTCATATTTCAAAAGTTTGAAACTAAATTACACGGGAAAAGAGAGAGGCTTTTATTTTGGAATAACTAGCAGTTTATGATTAGCCCAGTTAATATCTCCATCTCCTTGTTTTCCTTTATGTTGACATATAAATTGCTTACTATTGCTGGGACACTGTTGTCTTAAGTCAATAAAATAGTAAGGCAGGACCATTAATGTGGCATTTTGATCTGTATCCTTTTCTTTGTTAGAAATGAAAATGCAAAAGCAGCTTCAGATAATTTCTCATATCAGTGTTTCCAACTAAACTATAGTTTAAAGTCTACAATCTGCAATTATTTTTAATTATTGATTAAAACTGCAGACTGGTCACAAAAAATAATTGTCTATTTTGGAAGTTCTCTCAGCCCACTTTACAGTTCTTGTATGTGCCCCAACACGGCCATTTCATTTGAACACACAGATGCAGTACAATTCTATAGCTACATCTGTCTGAAAAAGAATGTATATATATATACACATATATATGTCTTTCAGTGAGTCCTCAAATATTCGTGTGCAGTGATCCGCTTACCAGAGGTCACTATGTATATGACATCCCCTGCTCCTTCAGGACATAGTACAGTAATTCTAGTCCCTTGCTTTTATAAGTGTAGAAATTGGACCATATTTAGAAATTAGAAAAGTGGAAATTACAGAACTTGAAGCAAATTAACTTCTAAAATATTGACAGGAAATATGTCGTAAGAATGTCAGCAATTAGCCTTTGCATTTCCTATCAGCACTAACAAGGACAAGCAAGACACTTCCACATGTGGCAAGGTGATGTGTTAATGGTCCTGTTTATATACCAAAAATATTGACTTCTCAAAAGGAACTCACTTTCCACCACTTTTTTTTACTCTCAGATAAACTGCAACATTTGCCACTAAACCTTTGCTCATTTTTAGTAAGAACCGTATTCTTTTTGTAAGGGTAGAGCGAACAATTTTGAGAGGTAATGTTCATGCATGGTATCTTATGTGATATTTTACTGATCAGTGAAAAAAACATCTATGAATACATGCTGTCCGTTTTGCTGCATGATTTTGCATAGAATGATAGCGTTATTTTATAAGGTTTTGCGTATATACAGTGTGAACCTAAAACTGGAGACCACTAACTGTTATTGAGAAAAACAGCAGGCAGGGTGGTTTTTACTCCTATCAAAATAAGAACTCATAGGCTCTGAGGAGCAGGCCCTGGTAAAGGCTGTCATTCTCCATCTAATTCTGGAGAGTGATCACATACATTCAGTAAATATGATCTGGAAATCTCTGAGCTATATCAAGTCATGGTATATTACAACATCACTTATATCTAGTTGTTTTTCAGAGTCAATGGCACTTAGGGATTTTATAGTCAGATATGTCCGCAATTTAACTTTAAAGCTTAAATCAATTTAAACTTGCTTTATAATGATTTGCATTGCCTCAATAAAGAATCGGAATTAAACAAAATCATTATAAACCAGGTTTAAATTGATTTAAGATTGTCTGCATTTAACTAGAACAATTTAACGTTGTTTCTTCCATGAAATGAAGGTACCTTTTAAAGAGACAAGACCTTAGTTTTTAGAAAGCCTTTAACTAAGTATGAATATGTGCCCCAACACTGCCGTTTCACTTGAACGTGCAGATGCAATACAACCCTACAAACCGTATTATGGTTTGTAAAGTTAAAACTTAAAACTAAAAAAGGAAAGTTTGAAACAGATTGAGACTATCTTACAAAGTTATCTGTACATACCTTTTGTTCGAGAGACTCTTTATAGTTTTTCATCAACCATGTGGCACAAATCAATGTAAAGTTCACTTTGATAAATTACATATGGGATGGAGAATTTTTTAGATAATTATAGTATGAATAATTTTATTATACAGTCTTAGTATTCCATATGTTGCAATGGCAGTTGGTCAGATTTCATTATATTAAGTAGCGTTTTAGGAAAATATAAAGATCGTAATCCATATTTCTGGGGATTTCTTAGGATCATGACTTTAAGTTAGCTTCAAAAATTTTAACTAAAGCAGTATTTTACCTGTCTTCTAGTATAATGAGTTATCAAAATGCGTTGTTCTTGTCTGAGCATTTACATATTTTAAATTTTACATTTTTCTATTTCAGTTTTAGCTCCTTTTCTTCCCAGGCTGTTCACTTCAAGAGGCAAGTCACATCTCTGTTAGAACTAATGATTGAGATAGTCCCGTCTATTGTAGCATTTTTCTAATATATTGTAAATCTGTGGTAATGCGATCAAATCCACTGTAGTCAGTTAATATTACTAACTCTTCCCCTTTGCTTTTCCTTTTTGATTTTCTAATGCTGCAGTAGGGCTCTTACATACTTATTTTTTCTTTTAAGAGTCTGAGAATGCAAATTTGCTAACAGTTTGTGTTCTACCTAGTAGGTATTATTTTCAGAATGAAAAATATATGGATGTATTCTAATATCATCAACTAGCATTCCCAAGGGGGAGTAAATTTTAACAGATAATTAAGATTCCTTTGGCAAACTATAAACAATAAAAGCACAGACCTCACACTAGAATAGATTCTAGAAAACAAAATAAATGTGGAAGGTTTAAGGTTTATGAATTTTACATTTTAGAAATGCATTCTCTTAGCCATGAAGTTGCTGTTGGCTTGCTAAGAATTATTTGTGCACATCTGAGAACAGAATTTGGTCTTAAACACATTTTTGAAAGATAACGCAGTTCTACAGCTAGAACACGTATCGTCTCTTTTGCCATATGACCGCGTCAGCATATACGCCCAAGCGGGCAGAATAGCCCTGACAAAATCTTTTGCTAGTCTCTAAACATTAGTTTCTGGAAGAAGAAAAAAAAAAGCAGCAAAGCTAGGAGGATGGGAGGCTTTGGGTTATTTAAGGAAGACAAATGGCCTTGGCAGGATCTGTCTGGTTACTTGAACAGGCTCAATCAGCTCTGACTTCCTCATAAGCCAGAGTGAATTGTATCCTCACAACAGCCTTGCAAGCATAAATACATATTATTCTGTCCATTATACAAGGAAATTGAGTAAGTCATCCAAATAAGCCCATGGTAAGGCACTAACTGACTTGAAAGCCTCTTAGTCTTCATATTCCTTAGTCTACAAAATCTTTCTTTCTGCACAGCTCTCATGAGGTGGAAGAAACTCCCCCCCAATGCCTATGCAAAGTTTTAGTGAGAAGCAGCTGTCCCACTGTCACATCAGCTTTCATAAATCTGCACCTCAATGTAGACATTATAGAAATAAGCATTTCTACCTGCTAAAAAAAAGAGCTCATCTTCCCTGGGAGCTGGCAGCGCTAGGGAGCTGACACCAACACGAGGCCTAGTGCAGCCAGGCCTCTCGCCGCGCTCCGCAGCGGAGTGCCCGGTGCATGGACTGACTGCCCCGTGCGCGGGAGCGCGCCGTACCGCGGCGCCTGGACAGCTTGGAGCGCTATTAATGAGACGTAGGACCTTCCACTTCCAGGTCATCCGTCTGAAGCCCCAGACAAGACTGCTGCTAGCCAAACCTTATCAGTGCCTGTTTGGTAGCCTAAGCGAAATGAACTTTTTGCCTCAGTTCAGACAAGCTGACAGAAACCACCACAATTATGAGCAATTTCCAATTGAAAAAAAAAAAGTCTTTATGGGAAGTTGGAGTGGTGCCGAAAGTTAGATTGTATGTAACTATGGTTAAAACTACTTAGTAGCATCTCAAATAAAACAGTAAATAATCTAGTCCTTAGAGGATATCTTTTTATTTCAGGTTCTAAGAACATGTTTAATTTACTTTACTCATAGTATTTTGCAGTCTTGCACAGGGCCAGATACTGTATTAAGAACTGTATCTAGCTAACACGCCAAGGAGGTGCATCTAAGGCCATAAAAAGCTTGTGGAATATTTGGGAGGGAAAGCTTAAATACACTTGACTCATGTTAAATTATGTATCTATGTATCTATATATAAATCTGAGATGTAATTTTCTGTACTAGAGTTGACCAATGTAGATTCTGATAAACTTTTAGCAGCTTTTTCTTAACTATTGTTAAGGAATAAAGTAGGAACATTATTTTATTTTATTTTATTTTATTTATTTTTCTTAAAATCTTCTCAAACCCTCTCAAACTGCTTCTAAGGTAAATTAGATCATTTCCATGTTCACTGTAACTGGATTTAGATGAAGAGTGGATTTCCTGAAAGTGAAGAACAATAGCATGGATCAAAAAAAAAAAAAAAAAGTTCTTTGGGGCCAACCAGTAAATCTTCATCCCTCTCGAGCTCCTGGAGGGCTTCGTGTGAGAACCGTGTCTCACCTGCCCTGGCCCAAGCTGGAAGTCTCTCCTGCCTCCGTGGAGCACCCAAAGAGACGGCTCTGCCTAGGAGCCCTCTCCCACAGCATCCTGGGAACCTTGACTGAGCGGCTCTGAATCTCTGCTTTCTTGTCCTTCCTCCCTTCCTCCCTTCCTTCCTTTTTTGTTCTTTTATTCTTTTTTTCTTTTGTTCCTTCTTCTTTCTTTCTCTCTTTCTTTCCTTCTTTCCTTCTCTACCTTTTTCCTCTCTTCCTCTCTTTTTTTCTTTCCTTCTTTCTCTTTCTCACTTCCCCCTCCTCTGTTTGAAGTTTGCTAAGGTACCCAAAGCATTTCCTTATTTTAAGTTTTTAAAGAAAGCACATGTGTATATATGGACACCCAATCACATCAGCTGGACAACCTAATGTCAGAGTTTCGGTTGAAAATATTGAAACAAAATGTTTTGATATTTCTCCTGGTTTTTCAGTGGAAACTATTCACTTAGGAGTTCAACGCATGCTCCTGGATAGCTTTCTCTCCCTAAGCTCCATTTTTTTTCTTGCAATTTAGCATTCAGGACAGGAATTTCATTGGAGGAGGGGGGTGTGGGAGAAGAGTGAATCCTTTTCCCTTTTTATGGTAGACGCATAACCACGCAAACCTTGTACTTCCAAACATGGAAATTTCATTCAGGCAGATATCCATACTTCCTGCTTATTGTATATTCAGATTTTGATCCTCAAGTCTAAGTACAAAAAGGAAAAACGTATTTATATGAGTTTGATTTAGAGTATAGGCTCAGGCATAGACTGAAAACAGTTATACCACTGATATGTAGTTGGCTTTCATTTTGGAAACAACAAAAAAAAAGCCCCACAGTGTCTGTAACATTCTATTTTTAGGCATCTCAGTGTTTATTTTAATCATTTTTCCACATGACTATCCAAAATAGCTTAATATTTTATAAGGTAGATGTCAGTCACAAATGATAGAGCCTCTCTTTGCAGTTTTGAAGAGCTCTTCTCTTTTTACCTCACTACACCCCATTCTAAAACTGAACATCTTTGACTTACTTTAAAATGTCAGCTGAGTTTACTGCTTTCCAAACTTCTGAAATGACCTAGTTCAAACATTGTCGCCTTGTATTTATGGAAGGCCCTGAGAGTGCTTCATGTGTTTTTACTGCCCACTCCAGTCACTCCAGACTACTCAAATTTTCGTTCTTCACACCTTACTTTTAAGTAAAACTTTTATTTGTTTATTTATTTATTTATTTTTATTTATTTATTTCTGCAACTGCAGAATTAGGTTGCAGTGGAAATACTTGCCCAACTACTGCAGAGGTCTTCTTCCTAGTCCCCAGGCACAAGGAGCTACTGGAGAGAGTCCAGCGCAGGGATACGAGGATGACCAGGGGCCTGGAACATCTGCCCTGTGAGGAGAGGCTGAGGGAGCTGGGCCTGTTCAGCCTGGAGAAGAGAAGGCTGAGAGGAGATCTGTTCAGTGTCTATAAATACCTTAAGGGAGTGAGGAGGATGGGTCCAGCCTCTTTTCAGTGGTGGCCACCAACAGAACTAGAGGAAACGGCCACAAACTGAAGCGTCAAAAGTTCCACAGGAACTTTAGGAAAACATTCTTAACAGTGAGGGTGACAGAGCCCTGGAACAGGCTGCCCAGAGAGGTTGTGGAGTCTCCTTCTCTGGAGATCTTCCAAATCTGCCTGAATGCCACCCTGTGCCACGTGCTCTAGTTGACCCTGCGGGTGCAGTTAGATGATCTCTAAAGGTCCCTTCCAACCTTAAGGATTCTTTGATTCTATGAAGTGCCACCTGGTAAGTGCAGCTGGTTAGCTTCAAAAATCAAGCCAAGCAGCCGTGTGGTACATAGGGGAAGGAAGGCATCCTACAGTACTGCAAAAATACACCAACGCATAAGGAGCTAGTTGTATGTGATTTCACACTTCTGGCCCTTACTGCATCTTATCAACATATGCACTTATCAACATACGCAATTATGCACTTATCAACATATAAAAATTCCTGTTCTCCAAATTCCTTATAAGACCCATATAGATAAACTGTATGTAGGAATATACAGTGTCTATGACTATATCCAGAATTGAATAATACTACACAGAAAAAAATACAAACATTTTCACAGACCAAGCAAGCTAAAAATGACTCAAGAAGACAATTGGGTTAGTGCTGGTTACACTGGTCAGATCCGTAAGTGACAACCTCATCCAGTGCACTTGAGCAGTCCTCACTGGGGCCTGTTAGGTGAAGAATTTTAGCTTGGCTTTTCAAAGAAACAAGGTTAATGTGTAAGGACACTCCGTCAGCCTTTCTCTGTGTAAATTCTGAACCTGGGGACCATTTTGGACACAATCTAACACGGAGCTAGGGTTTTCAGCGGCAATAAAATTCCTACAAGAAAATCAGGTTGTTAAGGAAAAAAAAAAGAAAAACAAAATGACAGAGACTGCAGCATTGGTTCTGGTTTCATTTGGTACCACAGAATATATCTAGGAGAGTCTTCAGAAGTTCCCCTGGTGCGTAAAAATAAAACATGCAGTCAACCACTAGATACAGCTGTATAGGAAAACAGTCTTTATTAGTTGTAGTATTGTGTAGAGATACTCTATATTTTTGATTGTTTCTTAATACCCAACAAGCCATGTGCTAATTCAACAGCTCATTTCATTCTTCCGAAACACGCATACGCGGAGCCAGCCAAATAAATGAACTTTAGAATGTCTCAAGCTGTATGAACATAATCCTTCCCTGCAGTGCAGTCTCGGGAAGTAGAGGCTTTCAGTTTATCCTGCAGAGCTTTTCCAGAGCAGAGACTACAAGAAGTGAAACCCGAGGGCTCACATCTT